AAAATGAGTAATATTTGTAATATTAGTAATATGAATAATACTATAAAAATGAGTAATATGAGTAATACTATAAAATTAGTAATATTAGTAATATGAATAATACTATAAAAATTTGTGATATTAGTAATATTAGTCATATGATTAATACTATAAAAATGAATAATATTAGTAATATGAATAATACTGTAAAAATGAGTAATGTTTGTAATATGAATACTATAAAAATGAGTAATATTAGTAGTATGAATAATACTATAAATATGAGTAATATTAGTAATATGAATAATACTATAAAAATGAGTAATATTAGTAATATGAAAACTACTATAAAATGAGTAATATTAGTAGTATGAATAATACTATAAATATGAGTAATATTAGTAATATGAATAATACTGTAAAAATGAGTAATATTAATAATATGAATAATACTATTGCGGTGTTTCAAAGTAAGATTGAACACAAGAAAAATAAATTAATTTAATTTTTAAAAATGCCCAGTGATGGACTTGCGACCTGTCCAGGGTGTGGCCCACCTCTCGCACAGTGACTGCTGGACATGGGCACCAGTGACCCCCGCGACCCGAAAATGAAGAAGCAGGTAAAGAAAGATGGATGGATAAAAATATTACTCACTATATATATATATATATATATATACATATATAATACATATTTCTGCAACCATACTCCCCCCGGAACCCAAAGACTTTGGTTTCCCGGGTGCTGCCAGGCGGGTCATGGGAATAACGCCGCCAGAAAAGCCGTCCATAAAAGCTGAAACTGCGAACTAGCGAGGGATTACTCATTTGAGTATAAATGGTTGGAGGGCAGATAAAGTAGCAGAGAACAACGATGTTCTCGTTTCCTGCTGCTTCACTTGGTTTGTTGGTTGAAAACCTTCATAAACAGCTGCAGATTCTGACAATAAAAACATTAAAGATTAAAGAAAAACAAACTGGTAATTAGCTCGTCACATGCTGAAGCATTTAAGAGCTTTCGACTCACTCTTACAGCGGAGGTAAGAGATGGAAACAGTCAAAATGAAGCATTTTATTCTCTGCATGTTTGTGCTACACAGTATTTTACAGTAAAAGTACAAGGTTTGATTTCTCATTTAGCATCTAATGCTTCTATTAGAAATGTTTCAGGAGGCTCTTTAAGGGCTCCGGTCTAAAACAGTATGGGTCAGAGCTGGTTCTGTGTCTCAGGTGTGGTGTCCTGTGAGAACCAGTACCCTCCTGCCTCTGGCAGACAGGATGAGTATCTCAGCTCGGGTCCCATGTGCCGCTACGCTGAAGACCTGCTGCCCATGCTCCGCATCATGTCCGGACCCAACGCCACCAAGTAAGAGCTCAGCTGCACCCCACTGCAATTATTTCTACCATCACTGCTTCATGGGTTTATTTTGATTTCTCATTTAATCGTCCTACAATGTGTTAAAATGAATGGAAAGGTGTGAAATTGACTTTTAGGATCCCAGGACTGGATAAGTTTAGAAAAAAATAGGAACAGCTTCCAGTTCGTAGCACCTCCAGTTGCAGCATTATGGGAATATTAAACACACTGCAAAGGACTTTTAACGTTAGCTACGCTCATTAAGTACAAAAACCATTTACAGTTGCAGGTTCTGTAAGAAACTTATGAGTCAGCGAAGCTTTAAAGCAAATAAACGTTACATTTTAGGACACGAGACCATAAACCTAGGTAATGAAGAGATGATAAAACCCTGATTACCGTGCAAATTTACAATAATTATTAACGGTAAGTTTACAGGGTTGAGCAGTTAGTGCCGTCGCCTCACAGCAAGAAGGCTGCAGGTTCTCCCAGTGCACATGTGGGTTTCCTTTAGATACTCCAGTTTCCTCCCACAGACTAAAAACATGCATGTTGGGCTGATTGGTAGCTCTAAATTGTCCCTAAGCCAGCGGTCTGCAACCTTTGTGATCAAAGAGCCATTTCTCCCACTTTGATTATTAAATTAAAAAAGGGCCCGGAGCCACGAAACCTGCTACAACTGTGATGATCAACTGGTGGCCCATGGGCCGAGTTAGTTGGAGGGGGCTTTTCTGACCAGTGTGGGTGACATTTTAAAACTAATAACCAATAATGAATTTCAACATTTATTGACGTTTTTACATTTTGGGGGAAAAAATGCTGTATTTTTTGGGCTATAAGACACTTAAAATCATTTAGTTTTCTCAAAAATCAACAGTGAGCCTTATGTTTTAATTCTGGTTGTGCTTACTGATTTTATGTGGTACAACTGAACAATGTTGAGTTATTCAGTTGAGTGAAGTTTGACTTATCTGACTGTTTGGTTTCTCTTAATTCACCTTATAGTCTGAAAAATAAAGTCTGATATAAAGACGTAAAAACTTCTAGTTTCTACCTTTAGATGGCAATAACTCTGCAGGCCTCTGTGGTCTTTGATGTGAGGAGACATCAAGAATCCTGCTTTGAAGTAATAAAGCAAAAAATAGTGTCGCCCAAACATTTGCAGAATTTTTTTTTTAAGCTAAAACTCCTTTTTTGTTGTATAAAAACCAGAATAATTCAATTTCCTGTAAGTTTTGGTCAAAGCTTCATTGAGCCGCAGCTGAGGCGCTAAAGGGCCACACGTGGCCCCAGAGCCACAGGTTGCAGACCCCTGCCTTAAGCGTTAGTGGTTGTTTGTGTCCATGTGATGGACTGGAGACATGTCCAGTGTGTCTCCCCCCCCCC